AAGACTTTTAGCTCCCGTTCCCAGCTTCCATTCCTGGCTGATAAGGAAGTAAGAGAAAGCCCATTCTAGAGAGAAAAGCAGAGCTGCCTGAGACGCTCATTGCCCAAAGTGATAATTCCTTGCCATGTTATTTCTTGAAGATGATCTCACAGAAGTCTCGTTTAGGGTTCAAGTCATGCCTGAATGAGAGAAATACAATGAATGAAAAGAAGTCTGAAACAGTGCACAGTATTGTCAACTGTTCTTAACTTAATCAGTTCAGAATATGGATGAATATTTTGTGGTCTTTTTAATGCAATAACTGCTTTTCAGTGTTACTCATCTATCTGAGCGGTTGCTGTAGCTACAGCATAACCCTGAGAATTGGCAGAGAGGGAATCGTGTATTCTACCATGTTCCCTGGCCCATATGAAATATTTAATGAATGTTTGTATTCCTTAAAGTAGGTGTTAGCTGGAAAGATCTATGAATGTGTACACAGAAATTTCTTTCCTAATCCCAGATAGAGATTATCAACCTTAAATTTCAGTGTTTACCTTGTTTAAATGTGTTAATATACCCTCAGATATCTTGTCATCCAAATGTATGTTTAATTCTTACTTAAATCCTGGGGTTTTATAGGAAGTTACGCCATAGATGAGAAGGTCATCCATAAAATAAACCTCATTAGTATTTCAGAAGTGCAGACTTAAGGCCGTTTATTTATGTAGGTGCTGGCTGTTGTAAACCATACATGACACTAGGGCAAGTTTGTTTATGGAGTCAGTTTACTGGAAAATAAACAAGGTCAGAGCTGCTCTAGCTCTAATATTTGGAATGAGTCAAGTTTGACATTTCAAGTTGGAAAAGAGCTCAGAATTTAGAACCCGGTTAAGAATATTCTGGATGGATGATTTTTGGGAAGGACAAATTAGATTTCTAAATTGACATGCAGTGCTAAAACCAGAAACAGCTTGCCTGGATTCAGAAAAATGACTAATACAGAAAAACCTGAACTTATTTGGGAGGAAGAAATCAGTGTAG